GCAGGATTGCTTGTAATAAAGATTTCAATGCAAAAGAAAAGGCAGTAGAGCTGACTATTTCTGTCAATGGTAAGTTTGTGATAACGTAAGAAAAGCAGTTTTAATGTTTTGCCACTTGCTTGAGCAACTTAATTTATAAATCTATAAGTAAATGCAAAAGTAAAAAGCATTGAATAATGTGTTGCTTATATTTATTGTGTTTAAACATGTCTGTGAAAGATTGTATTAATGTACTGTGTAAAAGAAAATAATTGCAATGCTGAAAAAGCATTTTCAGTGACAATGTTTAAATTTGAAATCAAAATAATGGATAAATGTTGTGTTTGTGGTAAACAGCCACGGATCAGTAGCGGACTCCTGTGTGAAAGCTGCTTCCCCTCTCACAAGAGTCACCTAAGAAGGTAATTCCCCCCATTTTCAAAAATGAAATTCAGGCCCTGAATAAATGTCTAAAAATCCTGATTGGAGTATCACTATAAATGGTTATAAATGATTAAAAGAAGGCTTTAAAAAGATCGGTATCGGTGATCGGATCGGCAGATACTGCTTTCTGATCGGTGATCGGCCTCAAAAACCCTGATCGGAGCACCCCTAATTCTGCCTGTTATGAAAGCGAGACGTCCCTGGAGACCAGCACAGGTGCCAGAACCAAACTTACATCACTCGGTTATGTAACTGTGGTTAGTATTGTCTTTGTACAAAGGGCTGTTTTCCCTTTTTTGCCAATTTGACACAAGGGAGAAGGAGGAGGAGGAGGAGAAGGAGAAGTCTCTTGGAAAGAATTTACAGCCTATTATTAACCATTTGATGTGTATATGAAGAAAGCAGATATGTAAAGTCCGGTGAGATCAGAAATCTCAAGGTCCTTAAAAGGATGTAGAGTGTCATACAAATGAGATTTAAAACAATCTGCACTTTCAAAGAAAACAAATCCCAGCCTGCAAACACTCACGGACACACTGAACGGAGGAGACACGCCTTTGGAAGGATTTCAGTATATTACATAACACTGCAGACATATTAACCTTCTAACACTGATTTTCCTTTTTCTGTGCTTCACATCTGCTTGTGTAAAGCACTGCCTCCACCTGGAACTGGGGCAAACGGCACACATTTTAAAAGCTTTAAACAAACACAAAGCGTAAGTATATAATCGCCTTTTAAAACTCAAATCGCAGTTGCAAGGTTTGGGCAAGTATTTCATGAGGAACAAAGCTAATACCGATTTACACTAAGCCTATTGATCTAGAAAACAAATGTACAACTGGCCCTAAAGCATTTTTAAGCGCTGCACTAAAAATTAGCGGTGCAAACTGATCCAGTCACCAATATTTTTATAAGGGCCTCTTTTATCATCAACATTTTGCAAAATGTCAACATTTATGGTAATGTTACCGCTCTTTGTGATAACTCTGGCCATTTGATAATACCTAGAATATCAAAATCAACTGCGGGTGGCAGATCCTTTTCCTATTTAGCGCCCAAACTCTGGAACAATCTACCGATCGTTGTTCGGGAGGCAGACACACTCTGTCAGTTTAAATCTAGATCAAAGACACATCTCTTTAACCTGGCTTACACATAATACACTAACACATTTCTAATATTCAAATCTGTTAAAGGATTGTTAGGCTGCATTAATGAGGTCAACCGGAACTCGGAACACTTCCCATAACACCCAATGTTCTCGCTACATCATAAGAAGAATGGCGCTACGCTAATATTAGTCTCTTTCATTCTTATTCCGAGGTCACCGTAGCCATACGGATCCAGTCTGTATCCAGATCAGATGGTGGATCAGCACCTAGAGACGACCTCTACAGCCCTGAATGTCAGCGGAGACCATGTCAACTAGATGCGCCCCAGAGACAGATCCTCTGTAAAGACCTCATCACCTCGACGACCATCGGGACAAGACCACGAGAACCAGATGAGTCCTCCGCACAATCTGAACTGTGTTGCAGCCTGGAATTATACCACATCATGCTGGTTTCGTCTGGCCAGAGGAGAACTGGCCCCCCGACTGAGCCTGATTTCTCCATTTCTGTCACTGATGGAGTTTTGGTTCTTTGTCACTATCACCTTTGGCTTGCTTAGTTGAGGATACTTAATTTCTGGCAATATTGTCGACTTGATTGCACAGACACTATTTGAAATGAACTGAGCTGGACGATGACATCACTGAATCAATAATGAACTGACTTTAACTGAAAAATTGAGTGTTTACTATTGTCTTCTTGCATTATCAGCACTATTTTCCTGTTTGACACTGTAAAGTTGCTTTGACACAATCTGGCTAACTAGCTTCCGCTAACTGTTGTATGCGCTGCGCGTTCACGAGAGAGCGGCGTTCCAGCGGATGCATATACAACATATTCCTTTTAAGTATATTCAGATTTACCATCACAAATTTATTTGTTTTTTAATGCACTGCTACATCTGTTTGCATTTTCATTTTTATCTCTAATTGGACAGTGCTTCAGCCGAATTACTATAATTACATTTGAAAATGGACATGATACAAATTATATGCATTTCATTTATTTTCAAAATAAACAGGCTATAAACATCTGAATCCAACAATTTGCTTCCAGGGGCCACTATCATATGCAGAGCGCTGAGAAAAATCTCATTCATTATTAGTGTCTGTGTATGTGTGATGCATGCAGCGATTTACAATATCATCCAGCAGAGATCAGGGGTCGATTGAATGATACATTCTTGTCATTAACTTTTCAGGGCTTTGACGAAATAGCATCAGATTTTCACAGTATCCTGTGCAAATACAGATAAGCAGCACTAATTTCAATGACAGCACTGTTGAAAGAAAGTTCACCTGGTCATTAATGGAGCTGTAGTCATTGGTGTTGGAGATGTCGTCGTCCTCCGAGTCAAAGAACTCCTCCTGGTTCTCCAGCAGTTCTGCCAGAATACGGCTGACCGACTCCTGCTCTCTCAGATCCTCCACATCTGTGTCTAAACTGCAGAACATATAGGAGGGGAATCAGTTTAAAGGAGTGTGTCACTTTGCTGTTCGTGATGTTAAAATACTTTCTTCTATTACAGCTTATTATGACTGTAGACTGATTTCCTCAAACTTTTTGGTGCTATCAAAATATTGCTCTGTTTGTTTGAGCATCCAACCATCTGGACTCTAAAGCATTAACTAAACCATTAGTGTGAGTTTGGGGCAAGACTGTCTGTCTGATTTAACAATGGCAAACAGGAAAAGAGTGCTTGGGTTTTGAAAACTGTTATGCCGTAACAGTTATTAATATTCCGTTTGGTGAGCATAAGTGGCTGTTCACACAGAACACTTTTTTCCTTCTAATATTAAAGGTGCTGTATGTAGGATTGACACCGAGTGGTTGAACTAGGTATTGCAGTCCAAATTCAAAATATTGGAGAGGGTTTTTTTCACCCGGCCCCTCCTCCTCAGACTTGACGCACACGCAGGTTGCCAGATTGACGACACCAACAGGAACGAGCGCACTTGACGATGAATGAAATTAAATACGCTGTGTTTTCCGCCAACTGGCAACCCGGGGTGCCGAAATACAATTGGGTAAACTGGCAGTGGGCGGGTTTCACAAACCAAAACAGAGACCGACATTCCGGAGCGCACATTTTCAAAGGAGAATAACTGACTGTAGCATTGTTTTTCAGATAAACAAATAAGTTAACTTAGCATGTTTCTTAAATATCTGCAAACATATTATGGTATTTTTATGCTTTAGTAGAGTCAAAAACTTACATACAGCACCTTTAAAGTTGATTAGTATTTTATTTTGTGTTTATAATGAGGACTATTATTATTATACTTACCAGTAGGCTACCACTCAAATGTTTGGGGTCATTACGACTTTAAGAAATTAAATACTTAAATTCAACGATCCATTAAATTCAGTTCAGTATTTATTAATCCCCCTAGGGAAATTATGTTTGCAGCATACACTCGCATAAAACATTTATCAAAAAAGAGAGTAATTTGCTTTTTTACATTGAATTATTTGACAATAAGTGTAAGAACATTAATTTACAGAGTTTTTAAGCATGTTGTTGATTTTCAGTGCTTTGGCGGTGTTGCAGTTTCTTTCACGCTGTATCTAACACTCTGTCTGACACTGACCCTGTTGCCCCAAAGGTTAAAGAAACTTGAAAAATTCCTGTTTAGGGCAATATGTACAGAACAGATTTCAGTTTGTTCGTCCTTTCCTGGAACTCTTAAACACTCTTTTACTGCTGTGATTTAACCTCTAAATTTTGGGTGGATATTTTCAAGTAGCTTTCTGTGAGAAATTATAATATTTATCCTTTAGTAATAGAAAATGCCCTGTTTTTTTGTTATATATTAAATTCCCTGTTTTCTGACTGAACATGGTCATTTTGATAGGTAAATATCACAATTACACATGACATGTAAATGGAAGAAATGTAAACCCTTCTTGACTATATTTCTAAGATTTTGTGAGAATAGTGTGCTTTCAAATACTTCAAAGAAGACTTTTAGGATAAATACAAATGCACAAATGCTATAGCTTAATAACAACCACTACTCATTTAATACATGTCTACATTAATATAGATTTTATTATATAAATATAATAAAATTCCATATGAATATCCCACATTTCTGCCACAATATCATGGTGCAGTAAGTGTTACTACACTAAATCCATGTAAAAGCATCTTACTGGAAAATGTCTGGTCCGAAGACAGCAGCGAGAGCTCCTATGCTCCAGCTCTCCTCCTGAAGAGACACCACACCAGACAGAAACCGGCACAAGAAGCGGAGCAAGCTGTAATTGACCTGCGGCAGCTGTTGAAGGAAGTACTTCATGTTTCTGCCCAGCTCTTCCTCACTGCTGTAGTCTAAAGGAGAGCAAACAAACCAGTTCAGAGGGACGTGCAGTTATTACGATAGGAGGTGAGCTGGCTGATGCAAAGGTGTGAAAGACACCGGTCATGCTTTGATGATGCAATCAGACTACAAGTCTGTCAAGTTGCCAGAACATTCCAGAAGGTAAAGCAAGCATTTTAATGCAGAGAGATACAAATTAAGCCAATTCGGACAGCTGGTAGGATAACAGAGCTTCACCCACCTTGATAGAGCTGCATTATTTGCGCCTGTAAGCCTGCAGGGATGACGGGCTCGGGGAGCTCCTGCAAGAAGAGGCGTAGCAGGCTGACGGCGGATGACAGGTCGGCCTCCTTCTCCAGGTTCACTTCAACGCCGCTGTCGTAGCGCTGTCTGAGCCATTCCACGCGTTCTGCGTTCCCATTCACTAGAAATAGACCCAGGTGCAGCCCTCCTACAAAACACAAACACACAGCTCACTCAGACAAACCAATGTGCGGAATAACATATAAACATGTTACTGAGGAGACTTAAATCGCTGAATCACTGCACAGAGCAGCTGACTAAGCGGAGCAGATGCTTGTTAAACTCGTAATCCCTTTAGTCAGATGTGTTAGCATGATAACCTCAGCTACGTTGCCTCCATCTGCCATCTATGAGATAATGAAACAGTCCTGCTGTTTCTTTTTAAAAATAACCCAGGCATTTTTTTTTTTTATGTTTAAGTTCACGACTGAACAAGTTTACATTCTTCATCCCAAATGTTTTGAATAAAACCAATAATGGATATTTTTACGGCTGGCTTCTTGAGTGCGGCACTTTTAAAACAAACTGTACATTTCTGCCAGATCAGATCAGATTCCTAAAAGCTCAGCTGGCAAATCAGCATTAGCTGGACTGTCGCTGTTCCCATTCCTGGTGTTCTGTGTGTGTACACAAGACTCTTTACCACACGAGGGGAAGCTACAGTGTCACTCGCTGTTATGTCTAAATTAGCTTCAGTACAAAAAACATCCTTCCATATGAAACGGTGGAGGAGAAATGCCAGTGTGCTGAGAAAGAGCTGGTGTTTGGAGACAACAGCGGTGGCTAAAGCCCTTTAAAGGACTTGACTTAGCCCTGCCAACATATTTTCAACATCCTGCCTGTGCTGCAGTTTAAACATCAAGCTGCAGTCCTCATCTCTTTAAAGGGAATATTAAATATTCTCACAGTCTGCTCGATGTGCGAGTGAGAAGTTCAGCAATTTGCAGATACCAGTCATTGAAAAAGAGTAAAAAGTGAAGGACTTAGCATTTACGTCTCTACATGCAGCAGTTAATTAGTAGGTGAGAGACTCGTGTAATAATACAGTGCCATTATAAAAGCCGCGGGCCGAATAATGTTCTTATTTTCGCTTTTAACTCTGTGATGTTGCACAATAAAGGAAGTACATCATTGATCAGGGAGTACAGGTAAGCCACTCCTATCGTACAATCAGACCAAACAACATGTTTGGCTTTATCAGATGAAAATATCATGCTCTGCTACTTTGATAAACACAATTTTTTTTTTTTTACTATTTATGTAACAACTGTGCAAGTTTACTATTTGTCAATTTAACCTTATTCAAATTCTTTTTTGATCCTAAATACTCATGTGTAACACAACCTTGCTGCATATTTGAGACTAAAGACTTTGGGGGTTTTTGAAGTCATATTAAACACAATTAATATGAAATCACATCATATTTATCACACAACCTTCCTAAGTTTGGGGGCGGTAAGAATTTATTTATTTAAGAATTTTGTTTTTAAAATGTATCTCTTTTGCTCAATAAAGTTGCATTTATTTGGCAAAGTAAAAACTGTAATATTGTGAAATATTTTTACAATTTTAAATAGTTTTCTATTTATATATATTCAAATACATTTTCAGCAGCCATTACTCCAGTCTTCACAAGAGTGTCACAAGATCCTTTAGAAATAATTTTAATATGCCGATTTGGTTTTATGCTGAACTTTATGCTGAAATGAATTATCAAACTTATTTTTAATGCTTAATATTTTTATGGAAAACATTATTTTATTTTCAGAATTCTTTGATTAATAGAAAGTTCAAAAGAAAAAGCATTTGTCTGAAATATTTTGCAACATTTTAAATGTTTTTACTAACACTTTTGATCAATTTAATTAATTTTTTTAATGATGAATAATAAAACAAAAAGTGTGCCTTAGTGTTATTGACCCCAAACCCCCATTCCCAAAAAATGGGAATGTATATTTGATATGCAAACTGATGAAGTTAAAACGAACTAAAAAAAAAAAACACAGCATGGTATTTACTCTCTGAATACTGTAATCTATGTTTAAAGAAAGAAAAGAAAGTAAGCTTACATTCTTCAATGACAATGTTTTGACTTTAATATATTCTTGAATGTATTTTGATATGTATGCATGTGTATATGTAACATTTTCATTTATCTGAATAGATCAGAAACTTCGTAAAACCATGATTCAAATGGTAAATATGCACTTTCTGGTCTGTCTTCCTTTCTATCCCTGGAGTGGTTTCAGTAACTATAAAGCTGCTATCATTGACGATAGTCAAAAACAAATAAACAAAGGCTAGGAAGAAAGTACCAGGAATCACCAGGGTCCCCCCTCACTCACCGTGCTCTTCAATGTACTCCACGATGCTCCTGACCAGCAGGGGGACCTCATGTCCTGGCTGCCCGCTGTGCTGCACCTCCTCCAGGGGGATCCCGAACACTCTGGCCTCGCTGAGGGAGTCGCTGAAGGAAGTATTGAGGCTCTTCCTCATCGCCTCCACAGCCTGGCTGCTTCAGTCCGTCTGCACACAGAGATGCCAAGAACAAGAAAATTGAAAATTGGAGCGGGACCTCTCCCATCTCGGAAGCGGCGGTTCTTATCGTGTGCGAGTGAAGAGAGCTTAAATAAGTGGAGCGACTGTCATGTGCAAAGATTGTACAGCTGTCAGATGCGGCACGCCGATTTGGCTGATGGTAGCAGGTGGCTCCGATTCTCGTTCAACATGCCAATTCCAACACAAACCATACTGCTACAGCAAACAAGCTGTTCATGTTAAGGAAAAACTCTGCGACTGCATCTGATTAGCGTTCAGCATGATCAGAAATGTGTACACAATCTGAACTTGATCTGTCGAGATACCTGATGTCTTCATGACAACACCAGCTGGTCTCACGTATCTTATCTAATTGCAATATGAATTGATTTTTTCATCATAGCAGAGCTTACCTTATTGTAGAAATGCCCAGAAGTTCACTTTATCTCCTGCTCCACTCACTAGTAGTAAACGGATTGTTCATCTATGGCTGCTTCAGGTTATGGCAGAAGATGAGCCTGTAGTTCCTCATTGGCAGACCGCAAATCCTGTTCAGGACGTTAGTGGTTAAGCTGGAGGAAACAAAACACATAAAAAACAGCAGCATTAGCAAATGCAACAAAACGGATAATAATCTTTCCGATTCATATGAGCAGGGGCAAATTTACAAACCACTTATCCACTTATGAACATATGTGGTCTGAAAAACACATCTAGTGAAGTTTAAATCTCAGTTAGGAAGAAAATACAGCAAGCAATCTGCTCACCCTGCTGCATATGGCATCACATGGACCACATTTAATACTAAGTGGAATTTTAATCCAAACAAGGTTTCCAATCATGCTACTGAAAGCCTTGATGCTTAAACAAGGAAATTAGAATTCCAAAAACATTTAAAAGCTTGGGTTTGTAAGTTTTGTTAAAGGGATAGTTCACCCAAAAATGAAAATTCTGTCATTAATTCCTCACCCTCATGTCGTTCCAAACCCGTAAGACCTTCGTTCATCTTCAGAACACAAATTAAGATATTTTTGATGAAATCCGAGAGCTTTCTGACCCTGCATAGACAGCAAGGGAACTACTACATTCAAGGCCCAGAAATGTAGTAAGGACATCTTTACAAAAGTCCATGTGACATCAGGGGTTCAACCGTAATGTTATGAAGCTATGAGAATACTTTTTATGCAGAAAGAAAATGACAATAACAACTTTATTGAACAATTTCTTCCAGGATCAGAAAACTCTCGTATTTCATCAGAAATATCTTAATTTGTGTTCAGAAGATGAACTAAGGTCTTATGGGTTTGGAACGACAATAGAGTGAGTAATAAATAACAGAATTTTCATTTTTGGGTGAACTATATCCCTTAAATGTTTCTGAATGAAGTCTCTTATACTCACCCTGCTGCATTTATTTGATAAAAAAAATACAGTAAAAACAGTAATATTGTGAAATATTATTACAACTTAGAATAACTGCTTTCTATTTGAATATATTGTAAATTGTAATTTATTCCTGTGATCAAAGCTGAATTTTCAGCATCTTTCCTCCAGTCTTCAGTGTCACATGATCTTCAGAAATCATTCTAATATGCTGAATTGCTGCTCAAGAAACATTTCTGATTATTATCAATGTTGAAAACAGTCGTGCTGCTTCATATTTTTGTGAAAACGGTGATTTACAAAAGAACAGTAATTACTGTGAATAGAAATCTTTTGTAACATCACAAATGTCCGGTTTTCTTTTTTTTTGACCCAAACTTTTGAATGGTACTGTGCCGTAAAATCACCTCTATTTTAGGTAAAAAGCTGTCTTCCAGGATGGACCTTTTCTCTGAAATAATACACAGTGTTACAGTTCAATAGATCTTCTCCCTTACCTGTACTATCATTTACACAAATTACTTTTTAAGATGTCGAGAGACACATTTTCACTGTGCCAAATTACAGACCTCTTTACCGCTTTAGGCACGACTAGCTGCCTGACACCATGTGAAACAGGAACATAATGTCCGGAAAACGAATAGGAACGATGTGCGAACTGACCCCTAACAGCAGATGTTAAAGTCTGCAGACAATTGAGAGTAGATATGCTTCTGATCCCACATATCACGCGTGATGACCTTTCACTCACTATGTTCACCATTGTTGGAGAAGCTAAAAGCGGCTCAGCGCTGAGACAGTAAGCAGAGAGCACTGTATGACCTTGGCTCATTCCTCAGAGCTCTGGAGAACACATAAAGGGACGATGCTGGAATTTTCTGCAGGCAAATCTCTCCGCATCTCCTTGGTGACATGCTGTTTGCAATGTTTGTCTCACTATGGTTACTTGGCGAGTTTGTAGATGCAGTCACAGAAAAACATGCGACAGATACACAGAGAGCGGCTGCAAACAATCCAGAACATTCCCTGGAACAACAGTGTCCCGAAGATAACCTAACAAGGAGATTATCAGCCCATTACAGCACAGCACACAGGCCAAATCTCAAACGTCAATGATTAATTAATAACTGTGGGTATCTTTGGGACATCTTTAAAAAGATAAGCAATTAGGAGGAGCTCAAGGTTAAAACTAGATCTGAGCATTCTACCTGTAATTTAGGCAAAGCACTTTATTGTCGGTTGTAGTGTTGTCAAAAGACCCGGTATTTCGGTACCAAGAACTTGAAACAATTTTAAATAAGTATAAAGAATGGCATTGGTTTTGTACATTTAATTTTTGTTTAATGTTATTAATAAAAATGTTGTTCAATTAGCATGTTTTTGTGTTTTGCTTTGGTACCGAAATTGGTACCGAGAACCATGGATTTTCACTGGTATTGGTACCGAATACTGAAATTTTGGTACCGTGACAACACTCGTCTGGTGTGAACACACCATAAGTTTTGCACCAGGCGACTAAATAATGTCTGATGTTAGCCACTGGCTAATAAATTGTTCGATTTTACTCGCCAATGATTGAGCTTTTGATTTCATTAAACATCTGCAGGAGCTAGTCAGTGATTTTATTGCCGTCTGAATCCAGAATGTCTATGTTTTTCTCCCACCTGTGCAAAACATTCCAGCCAAATTACCAACTGTTTTCAAGGTCATTTGGTAATTTAATTGCTGTCCGAATCCTCATCTTTTTCCACATTGTTTACAATAGGGTATAAGTCCAAAAGCTTTGAGTTAATGTGCATACACTTTAAATATGGACACTTTTATAATATTACGTCACTGTTCCACTACTGAGTGGGAGCTGGAGAGAAAAAAAATAATAATAAGAGAACAAAAACCACCTTTACTAGTCATACAAGTCAAATGTTTACCTTATGTAAATAAGAGTTTGCATTACTTTATGTCTGCTAATTTCCACATTTTTATTTACATGACATCCATCATTTTGGGTGATAAAATGCAAGACAGAAAACCATTTAAACCATAGCATGTCAATTGTCCTGTTAAAATATGGTATTTAAATAATAATATCAAATAAAAACAGGATATTCTTTTCCTATTATTAATTTAAATATGAATCACGTTACTGACCACATGAGCAGCCGGTTCATAGGATTACAGAACTTTTTTCTCCAACATGAATAAAATCGCCATCAGAAAGCAAGAGTTCATCACTGACTGTGGTACCATGCAAATTTATTTTATACAGACGTCCCCATGAGAAACAATAACTGTCTGAATCGAGTTTTAGTATTATTTCTATTTTATTAGTATTATTGATAGTTATTATTTATAGAAACATTAAGGGTGCTTTCACAGGTCTCAGAGGCATGGAAGAGCCAGATTAGTTTGCTAGCCTGCGTCTTTCAGGTTTGAAATACGGGAAATATGGGAAAAAGTAACTTAATAATAAGAAGCATAACAGGACAAACATACAAAAGAAAAACCCTGAGGTCTTATGTCACAAAGAGTATGGATCATCTCACGGGTTGCATATGAGAAACAGAAAGTTTCCCATGTTGTGCAGAAGTTGGATAGAGAGTCGCCATGTGACTTCAAAAATGCCATTCACAAAAAAAAACCTATCAAGCCTGACCACCAAAGATAAGATGATCCACAAATAAATCAATTAATAAATAAAGCGGGGCAAATATGAATTATTCATAAATAACCAGCAGGCCACACAAGTTTTGTCTTTGACATTGATATTATTGATTAAAGGGTTAGTTCACCCAAAAATGAAAATTAGCCCATAAATTACTCACCCTCAAGTCATCCTAGGTGTATATGACTTTCTTTGTTCAGACGAATCCAGTCGGAGTTATATTAAAAATTGTCTTTGATCTTTCAAGCTGTTTAATGCCACTCAGCGGGTGTTGCATGCATCAGTCCAAAAGAAGTTAAATAAAAAGCGCCCATCCATAAAAAAAAGTGTTTCACACGGCTCCGGGGGGTGAACAAAGGTCTCCTGTAGCAAATCGATGCGTTTTTGTAAGAAAAATATCCATATTCAAAACGTAATAATCACTTTAATGTAGCTTGCGCCAACAGTTGTACACGGAAGCAGCTCCGGGCTGATGACGTATGAGGTAATATAACTCCGACTGGATTCGTCTGAAAGAAGAGTCATATACACCTAGGATGAATTGAGGGTGAGTAATTTATGGGCTAATTTTCATTTTTGGGTGAACTAACCCTTTAAGAGTCTCCTACCCAGCTCTACAGAGAATGGACATTTCCAAATGGTTATATTAAACGACTGGATGTTGAAGCATGAAGTAAAATGCCAGTCTAGCAGTGCGGTGGTCCCTAGCAACACTGAACGCAGCACTCATCATTAAGATGGAAACAAGAGAAACTGCAAATTTAGCTATTCAGCTGCTGACAACATTCTGAAGGGACCCAGAGAAAGAGCAGCAGGGGTCAGAGCGCAGATTAAGACAACAACTTCATTAAACCTACGTCTGTCTTTGCTTGTGACCTAAAAGACTAAGCGACATAGAGCTACAGAATAAATTTAGCAGTATTTATAGGAAACAAATGCAGTCAGTGGCCACTTTCACACATCAAACTTGGTCAACTACAGTCAAATTGACTTTTCTGAACATCATGTTTTATGTTGTTTACATATCTATCTGGTGTTTTAATATGCTAAAGGATAAACCATGTGCAGATTCATCAGGCAACGCCACTGCTGAGAATTTTCTCCTCAAAACTATATTGTATACAGTCTAAAATTGGGTTTGAAACAGCCCGTTTCCTACCACCACAAACATGCAACCAATCTACCCGTCAACTTGCAGGATGGGGATTTTCATATCATTAGCAAAGCAGTTCTACCTGAGGATGTTGATTTCTGGAAGGCAGTAGGGTTGTGACGGTGAGGAAATTTTCCCACCGGTTAATCGACGTGTGACAACACCGATAATACCGGTATCACTGTGGGGGCAGGGGCATTCCCTCTTTTCCTCGCTTTCCTTCGCTTTTAAATAGCTTGTAAAAGCGGCGTGCGCATTTTACTTTCACTTTCAAATAGCGACAAATTCAGCGTAAAGCAATTGTTGGTTTGAATTTTCCCTCTTTTCCTCACTTTCCTTCGCTTTTAAATAGCTTAAAAGCGCCGTCCACATTT